GTCACACCCACTCCTCACCTCTTCACTTCTCCTTACACTCATACAAGCAGCTAATTACAAGAGCTCACTTTACTCCTGCTCTTACCTCCCCCTGAAATGCCTTCCACTCTTCACTCCATCTACTCAAATCATTAGGATCTAACTAAAAGTCCATCTCCCCCATAGTCTAAGTGACTATCCCACAGACAGGATGAGTTTTCTTCTTCAAATTGTAATAACCTCACACTTTGTACTATGTATACATCTTGTCACTTGTCACTTTTATATACGTCAATATTTAATAATTCATTGGATTGTAAGCTCCTTGAGGGCAGGGACTGTCTTTTGTCCTTTTCTGTATCCCCTGTACTTAGTACAGTGCCTGGCATATACAGGCATATCTCATTTTATTGTGCTTTGCAGATATTGCATTTTTTTTCACAAATTGTAGGTTTGTGACAACCCCGAGTCAGAGGGAGTCTGTCAGTACCATTTTTTCCGACAGCAGGTGCTCACATTGTGTCTGTGTGTCACATTTAGATAATTCTTGCACAACTTCAACCTTTTTCATCATTATCATTTCTGTTACAGTAATCTGTGATCAGGGATCTTTGGTGGTACTATTGTAATTGTTTTGGGTCACCACAAACCACACCCATATAAGACAGTACATTTAATCAATAAATGACTGCTCCACTGAACATCATTCCCTGTCTTTCTCCCTCTTCTCGAGTCTCTTATTCTCAGAGATACAATAATATTGAAATTAGGTCAATTAATAACCCTACAATGGCCTCTAAGCATTCAAGAGAAAGGAAGAGTCAATCAAAAGGGCAAACTTCATTGTTGTCTTATTTCAAGAAACCACCACAGCCACCCCAACCTTCAGCAATCATTACCCGGATCGGTAATCAGCTGCCATCAACATTGAGGCAAGACCCTCTACCAGCAAAAAAGATTACAACTCACTGAAAGCTCAGATGGTAGGTAACATTTTTTAGCAATAAAGTATTTTTCAATTAAGGTAGGTGCTTTTTTTTATACATAATACTATTGCACACTTAATAGACTACAATATAGTGTAAACATAACTTTTGTATGCACCGGGAAACAAAAAAAATTCATGTAACTCACTTTATTGTAATATTCACTTTATTGCAGAGGTCTGGAACCAAACCTGAAATATCTCTGAGGTAGGCCTATAATAGGCACCCAATAAATGTTTATTGATTGATTTCTAAAGCAAGTAGCGCAGTGCCTGGCATATAGTAGGTGCTTAATAAATGTTGAATGATTGATTTCATGTAATCTTCTGAAGTTCACTAAAGTATCACACTTGGTTTTAGGAAAATCAAAGTTCCAATCTGGCCTCAGACACTCACTAGCTATGTGGACCTGGGCAAGCCACTTTAACCTCTATTTGCCTCAGTTTCCTTTACTGTAAAACAGGGATAATAATAGCATCTACCTCCCAGGGTTGTTGTGAGGATCAGATAAAAGAATATATGCAAAGGGCTTTGGAAACCTTAAAGTACTATATAAATGTTAGCTATTATTATTATTATTATTATTATTAGGATTTACCCCCCCATCCCATTGATAGAATCACAAGATGATAAGGATATCATTACAATAATAGTTAATTATAGCTAATATTTATATAGTACTTACTATGCACCAGGTTAGGCAGCTAGGTGGCTTAGTAGAAAGACCACTGGGACTTGAGTCAAGAAGACCTGATTTTAAATCTGGTCTTAGACGCTTATGAGGTATGTGATCCTGGGCAAGTCACTTAACCCATTTGCCTTAATCCACTGGAGAAGGAAATGGCAAAACACTCCAGTGTCTTCGTCACAAAAATCCCATAGACGGTATTGATGTCCGTGGGGCCACAAAGAGTTGGACACAACAGAACAACAATATATCAGGCATGCTAAGCACTTTACAAATATCTCATTTGATTCTCAAAACAACCCTAGGAGATAGGTGCCATTATGACCCCCATTTTACAGTACAGGAAACTGAGGTTAAGTGACCTGCCCAGGGTCACACAGCTAGTGTGTGTATCTGAGGTCAAATTGGAACTCAGGTCTTCCTGAGTTCAGTTCCAGCACTCTGTCCTCTGTGCCACCTAGCTGACTCTACTAGATAACAAGTTTCTGTGAACAGGCATTAACATTTTGGAAGTCTGAAGCCCTTGATTGAATTACAGGGGCAGCTTCCCTATTGGCTGGTCAAGCCAATGGGCAAGCCGTGGCCCTTAGGTCAGTCAACACAGAAAACACCCCAGAAGGTCATGACAGGGGGTGGGGGAGAAAGAGGAGGAGAAAGAATAGCGTTAGTCTTCCCTTAACCGCCAGTCAATCACGGCATTTGAAAGAACTGCTTAACGAGTAGAAGATACTGCATCCAACAAGAAGCAGACATACTCACCCTCTAGGCACATTCAAGGAGCAAGACCTCTGAAAGCAAAGAAGAGAGCCAGCGAGGGCCTCAAGAGAGGAATGGGACCTGGGATCCCAGCTGAGACCCCCCCACCCTCACGACCCCAGCAGAAATGCTGCACCCAGAAAGAAGCTCCCTAAGGACTCCATGAGGAAAGAAAGATCACTGGGGCTCTGAAGTTCAGGAGCGTTCCCCTACTCATGCCTCACTACCATTGTATTCTTAAATCTGCGTTCATCAGCTCACTGCAGCTGTATGTATGTATAGGAGGGAGTGCATCCAGGTTTATGGAAAGAATGTTGTATGGCTTCTGTTCTTATCAGGCTATCTCAGTAAATGACTTTGTTTTAGGCTAGGTTTTTCTTTTTTGTTTGTTCGTTTTTTCCTACCTGAGTATTAAGAGAGAGCTCACTAGCTGGGGCTCATGAGCTAAGGCGTTAGAAGTACAAACCTCTAGGGAACCCCCGGATCTTTAAGGGAGCGTCTACCCCCTTGGGTGAAATAGCCTACAGGGGGTTTTACATTTGTACATCTTGTTCTTTCTTTGACTTACTGTTTTTAGACCCTAAATGACAACCTGAAACTTAAGCCAGTCCAAAAGCACTTTTTTTTTTTTTTTTTACACAGAAATACCTGGTTCAGCAAATATTGGTGTAACGTCTCTGGGCCCCGGAGAGGCCGTATGGTGTGGTGTCGTGATGTTTAGTGTCATGTCGTATCCTTTATGGGAAGCTGCTCTAAGAATCAGGTTCAAATCCTGCCTCTGAGACTTACAGACTGTGTTACCCTAGGCTGGTCACATACACTCTTAGCCTCAGGCATTTTCCTATTATTTATCTGCTAAGTCCCATATACTATGTTGTTGTTGAGTCATTGGTTTGCCATTTCCTTCTCCACCTCATTTTACAGATGGAGGAAACCGAGTGAAGTGACTTGCCCGGGGTCAAATTTGCGCTCATAAAGATGAATCTTCCTGATTCTAAGCCCAGTGCTCTATCCACTGCGCCACTATGCTAGTAAAGGAGGAAGTTTTCCTATACCAGAATGATCGAATCACAGATCTTTTCAGTATTTATGAATTCAAGCGAAAAACACCGGACTTGAAGTTCAAAGAGACCTGGGTGTGAATCCCACTTCTCACACTTAAAAGCTGACTGACCCTAGGCAAATGACTTACTCTCTCTGAGCCTCAGTTTCCTCATCTGTAAAATTGGGGTAGTAATACCTATAGTACCTACCTTATAGGTTTGCTGTAAGGATCAAATGAGATATTTGTAAAAGTGTATTGTAAACATTCAAGTGCTACATACAGTCAGGAATTAGTTTCCTATTTAGTAGAACAAGAGAATCCCCTAAATGTTCTTTCAGGCCCCATCCTGGTGAAAAAAAAAATAGCACCAACAGCTCACTTTTAAATTTAATCTGTATAATTCATATTTTCTCCCTGGACATCTTAAATCCAGAAATCAACAAAACAATAAACCAAGCCCTGATTTGCAGACTTTGCCCTTTTCCAAGGTGTAAAATGCTCACGTTGAAAACTTAACAAACAGCCCTGATTAGAGCTGACTCCGGCCAACCCCAGCTTCCAGCATTTACAATCTATGACTTCATGCTTGTTCCCAGGTCCCTCTCGGCACCTTTGCACTGGCTGTTCACCATGCCTGGATTGCCCTCCTGCTTCATCTCTGCCTCTTAAAGGAATATCTAGCCTGCTGCAAGATTCTACCCAAACACCTCCTTCCTGAGGCTTTTCCTGACCCCCACTCCCACCTCAAGTACTAGTGTCCCCCCAGAATGATTTTGTATATATTAAAATGTATTTAATTATCTGTGTACATGTTGTATTCCTCCCCACCCCCACTCCCTAGTAAGCTCCCTGAGGGCAAGGATAGTTTTGTTTTAGCCTTCGTATCTCCAGTGCATTCGGCACGGTACTTAAGAAATGGTTGGGGGTGGGGTGGGGGTGCAGCTAGATGGTGCAGTGGTTAGAGCACTGGCCCTGAATTCGGGAAGACTTGAGTTCAAATTTGAGCTCAGACACTTGACATTTACTAGCTGTGTGACCCTGGGCAAGTCATTTTACCCCATTGTCTCGTCAAAAAAAAAAAGGTTGAGGTGAGATAGCCCTGATAAGGCTTTTTAAAAATTTTTATTTCTTATATTTATTTCTTTTATTTCCTTGCGCAAAGGATTAACTAGGGCCAGAAATTGTAAACTCATTGTCACCCCACAATCATTTAGTTATCAACCTTTATTCAAGCCGTCCTAGGGGCTTTGGTAGGCAATTAACACTACCTGCCATTGTGGTTGGACTTTCCTGATGGAGAGAGGCACCAAACAACCAAACCACATCCTTCAGGATGGCACGAAACAGGGAAGAGTCAATCAGTGAGTCAGTCGATGACGATTTTAAATGCCTACTCTGTGCCAGGGACTGTGCCAAGTGCTGGGGATAAAGAAAGAGGCAAAAGACAGTCCCTGCCTTCAAGGAGCTCATGGTCTACTGGGAGAAACGGCACGCAAACAACTACGGACAAACAAGCTATATACAGGATAAATAGGAAACGACTAACCGAGGGAAGGCACTAGAATTAAGAGGGATTGGGAAAGGCTTCCGGAAGAAGGAGGGGTTTTTAGCTGGGACTTGAAGGAAGCAGGGAGGCAGGTGGGCTGGCAGGAAGCTGATCCAGCGGGTCTTGCCACCTCGTCCTCACCTTTGGCAGCGTTTCTAACTAGTAACATTTTAAAGATGGACGCCGGCTGATTTAGGTTTTGCAAAGGCTGACACGATTCCTCACAATCCCAGCCCCCTGGAATGGACGACAAGCAGCTAGCAAGGTGTCCCTGCTTTTGAAGAAAGGACAAGCCGGAAGAAAACGGATACTTCTTCTTGGCTTAGAAATCAGGAAGGTCAAGTGCCTTGCCATACAATAACTGCCTTTTGAAGTTACTAGGCAGATTGAGAGGAACAGCTCAGATAAATGAGGGAAGGCAAGCCTTCTGATATTTCTTGGTACTATAAAGGCTGAGACACAGCAGCTGCATTTAAAAGGAGCAATTTGCTAAATGAGGGGCTGGCTACTTTCCAGATGGCCATTGTTACAGAGGATTTGGATGAATCTTTCATTCAATCATGCATCTGTCTAGACTGAGACATGAAAAGCCAGGTTCCTGCAGCAGATTCAAAACCCTTACATAAAACATGCTTCGTATTGCCACTGAGACAGCTTGGCTAGAGACCAACCGGAGAGTGTTTGGCATTATTGTATGCTATAAAATCTTTACTAAATCCACTTTCTCAGCTGAATGATAGCAGTGTGTGTGTGTGTACCTAAATGCTTTATCATTTCACTCACCAATCCAGGATTGGGGCAGGTGAATATAATATGATATTAGCGAGATGGCCCAGACATTGTAGTCAAGAAGCCAACTCCAAAAATTGGCTTCACTTTACGTGTTTTCTTTCCACGAAGTCTTCAGTCACGTTCAGTTGTGTTTGTCTTGTCTTCTCAATTAGATTGTAATATTCTCAAGCTCTGGGAACCAAGATGGGTAGTGTATTGGCAAGAGTGCCATTTCTGGAATCTAAAAGACTTGAGCTCAATTCTGACTCTATCACTACTTATATGACTTTGGCAAGTTACTTCTCTGGGCTTCATCTTTAGCCCTAAATCTATGGTCCTCTGCTGTCCAATAGACTGTACCGTCCTCGAGGCTAAGGATTATTTATTTTCTTGTTTTTGTACCCACAGTGCCCACCACAGTGGCTGGAACATAGAGTTAAACATTTATTGACTTAAATATCTATTTCTTTCTTTAAAAAAAATCCCTTCATAGACTCTAGTTCAGTCATCTGCAAACTCTGAACTCTCTACATTTTCCATTCGTCAGAAATTCTTCCCTGGGCGGGAGGTTGGTCTAAATGACCTCCGACGTTTCTTCTACTTTGGAAGATTCCATGATCCTATGATTACATGTTAACTGACTTTGCAGCTGCTCCATGGGATGGCTGAGTAAAATGGAATTACCCAATTGGATTTTGGCTAAGATCCCAGAATTAACAGGCCTATGCTTAGGAAACAGGTCACTACCGTACCTCACATTTAAAATCCTGGCCCTCTGAACAGGGAATAACAAAGTAAATCTCCCCAATCTTCCACCCCTTGCCTGAAAAGTGCTCCTAATCCACCCTAAGGGAAATGAAAATCAGTAGTATTTTATTTTTAAAGGTTTCCAGGAGAGGAGAGTTCCTTAGCAACATATCCCCATCTCTGTGGTCAGGAAGACCTCCCTTGTATTCAAAAAAGGAGTTCTTAACCTGAGTTCTGTGAACTTAAATTTTTTTTTATAATTGCATTTTAAAATAACTAGTTTCCTTGATAATTCCATGTTTTTTTTTTAAATTCTTGCATTTAAAAACATAATTCTGAGGATTCCATAAGGTCCACCAGCCTGCCAAGGAGGTCCATTACCCCCAAAGGGTTAAGGACTCCTGCACTAGAGCATGACCTAGCCAGCAGCAGCCTTGTGCCCTCCAAACACTGGACAGGACCCAGAGTTAATTTCTGACTCAGAGGGAAATGTTCCACCTGATGAATCATCAGCAATACTTCCTATGACATCAGGAGGATAAAACTAGACTGCTTGTGTTGAATTTCTAAGCAGTTCACCTCCTGTGGTCATTGACCTACATAGGATGGAAAATTTAAAGTACTGCTCCATCACTAGCAAGCTAAAACCCTGCATCCACATGGGTTTGCTTTTTAAGCCCCAAAGAAATATCCTATCTACTTGCGTAAGTTTGTCCTTTAAACAAAATGAAATAAATTACTGTAGTGGCAAGCCAATGTGGGGCATTGGTAGCAGCATTAAATGTGGATGTCAGTCCTAACTTAGACACTTACTACCTGTGTGACCCTGGACAAGTCATCTGATAACTCTGAGCCTCAGTTTTCCAGCTTAGTATTTATGTGAACTATCTCAGTTGTGGGATAAAATATTTCTAAACTTTAAAGCATTGTTTAGTCGTTTCACTCATGTCTGACTCTTCATGACTCCATTTGAAATTTTCTTGGCAAAGATACTGCAGTGGTTTGCCATTTCCTTCTCCAGCTCATTTTATAGTTGAAGAACCGAGGCAAATAGTGTTAAGTGACTTGCCCAGAGTCACACTGCTAGTAAGTGTCTGAGGTCAGATTCGAACTCAGGAAGATGAGTCTTCCTTTCTCTAGGCCCAGCACTCTATCCATTGTACTGCCTAGCTGCCCAGTTTCTAAACTTTAAAGCATTAGGTGACAATAATAGTTTATTGAGCATCTGTTTTTGCCAAGATTATTACAGTAGGCTCTTAATTGGTTTCCCTGGCTCAAGTCTTGCCCCATGCCAATTCTTCCTCCATACAGATGCCAAAGGGACTTTCCTAATGTGCAGAACTGACCATACCACTCCTTTAATCAACCCTATCACCTCTAAGATTTGGCATTTAAATCCCTTTACAACCTGTCTTTAGTCCCAACCTACCTTTCTAAACTTAATTACAAGTTACTACCCTTTATACATATTATATTTCAGTCAAACTGGTCTTCTTGCTTCTTAAACACAGCACTCCATTGCACATCTCTATACCTTTGCTAGGCTGCCCCAACCCCACACCTAGAATGCCCTCCCTCCTCTTCTCCAGCTTGTAGAATAACTCAAGGGCCACCTTTTACATGAAGATTTTCCTGATCCTCCTCCAGTCATTATTGCCCTCTCTAATCCAAAACACCTTTTATCTATTTTGTCTTCTTTGCTAGAATATAACCTTCTTGAGGGCAAGAAGCTTTTAACTTTGAGTTTTACCAGCACCTATAGTGCCAGGCACATCAGAAGTATGTAATTAATACTTTTGGGGTGATTACAGAGTGCGGCGCTTGGGCTCTAGGGAGATAAAAGGTTTTTGATAAGATGTGGTCCCTGCCCCAGGGATAAGATAAAAACAAAAACAGCTGTCATGCATATTACCTGATAAAATTTTAAGTGCCAATGTGAGTTATCATCAAGAGGAAAAGTACATTACAATCATAAAGATGCTCTGAGAAGGAAGGCTTATTACCTGCCACCAAGTAGTACTGGGAAAGCTTCATGGAAGAGGTGGCAATTTTAAAAGATAAGTAAAATTTAACAGGTAAGAAGGTGATGAATGAGAATTCCAGTCACAGAGAAGAGTGTGAGTCAAGGTTTGGAGGGGCAGAGAAAGTTAGTTAGAGTTTAGAGAGTATGGTAAGGATTGGTATTCAATAATGCAGATTGGTATCAATTTTAAAAGGTCCTTGAATGCCAGACATATGTGTTTGAACTTTACTTAGAAGGCAATAGGGAGTCATCAGATTTTTTTTTTAGCAGAAGAACAATGTGACCACATTTAGGTATTATATAAGAGAGATTATCCTGTCAGTGGTATATCCATGTGAGTCATTGTTACGAGCATACACAGCTATGACTACCATGGGTATAGTCATTCTGCTTCTCAATCCCAAGTAGGTACCAGTTCCCAAGAGTCCTTTGCCCCATTCACTGTTGCCAAAAGTGATAGGAACTGGCATCAGCATTGGCAGAGGAAGATAGTGGGATTCATCGGGCTCTAAAGACCAACATCAATGTAGAAAAAGTGAAATCATTTAAATCAATCAACCTATCAAATCAAAACCATGAATGGCTTCCTTTCCAGTTTGACCAAATTCTGCCATAAAGAGGGCTACATGGGAAGAAGTACAGAGCCTATGATAAAGGTTACATCTGTAGATATTCTTAAGAAAACATGTAATTTTTACCATACTGAAGATTACCATTCAGTAATTTTGTTGAGCACTCGGTACACAGCTCTGTACCTGGCATAACAGCTTCTATTCAGGAATTGAGATTGGATTTACTCCACAAATACATTTCAACAGTCAGCAAAACATAAAGTTCCTCATGCTTTGCTTCAACATGCCCCTGATTCCAAGAATGTTCAGAGGCCAGCAAGTATGCAAAACTTGAAAACTGTTTCTAAACTGCCTAAGAGTGTGTAACCAGAGTAAAGAGTAGGAAGTAGATCAATAAGGGTATAGAAGGGTAGGGGAGGAAAATCAGGGCCCCAGAGGTACATGAGCTTGTTTTTTCCCCAAGCTTCCAATCATCATCCCTGTGACTTCCCAGACCCAAATACCCCTCCCCAGCTACTACTCCCCTATATGTGTCATCTTCCGCTATTAGAATGTAAGTTTATTGAAGGAAGGGGGCTCTTTTTGTATTTGTATCCCCAGTGCTTAGCATAGTGCCTGGTACATCTTAAACCTTTAATAAATGTTTTTTATTTCATTTATTCATTTTTCCATACCACATGTTAGTTACTGAGTGGGAGCATAGTCCTTTTTTATTGTATTTGCCCTTTTTTGATTGTTATGTAGGGAAAAATAGGCATTTTCCAAATCATAATCAAGGACAAACAGCACTTCTGAAGATAAAAAAACAATATTTAGTCATGAACTTTACTCAGGATGATGGCTTTGCCACTTTCTACCTCAGTGACCTCAAAATGATTCAAAATGTTTTTACTTCTCTGGGCCTCATTTTCCTGATCAATAGAATGAAAAGGTTGGACTACAAGGCCCCCACAGATCTTTGGCCAATTTTAAATTCTGCAATCCTATGGACAAGAATTGCCCAGAAAGAGAACATGAAGGTCACTGATCAGAAGGAATCTAAGGAGAACCTACAAGGAGGAAACCCTAGACCACAGATGCATCTCTAAGAATCTGAGGAGAGCACAGAATGAAGCCTGAAGTCATATAAAAATGTGTCGGAATGCCATACCTTGAAAA